GGCTCCTACTGAAGTCTTTGTGTTGGTGATGGGTGCCGATGGGGCCAACTTAACAGGCACATGACCATCACAGAACAGCTGTAATAACCACTGGCCACATCATAGATCTTCCTGAAGTCTTTGTATTGACGATGGGTGCCAACGGGGCCAAACCACGTCCCCATGGCCACCACAGAATGGTTGTAGCAGCCATTGACCGCGTCATGGATCCTCCATAAATCCTTCTGTTGATGATAGGCACCAGCAGTGCAAACCATGTCCACGTGGCCACCACAGAAGGGCTGTAGCAGCCATTCAGCATGTCACAGATTCTCCATAAATCTTTCTGTTGATGATGGTCTCCACAGAAGCACCATTGTCTGCTCTGCCATCTCCTCCTCTCTCCTTGGGGAGCCCCTCAGAGCCTCCGGTGCATCACCAGGGCCGGCCCCGGCCCCCGCTCAGCTGCGTGGAGGCGGCGGTGTCGAGCAAGGTGGGAGCCGCGGCTGAAGGTCTTGGGGCATTCGGAGCAGCGGTAGGGCTTCTCACCAGTGTGGGTGCGCTGGTGCTCGAGCAGATGGGCACTCTCGCCGAAGCATTTGCCGCACTGGCTGCACTGGAAGGGCTTCTGGCCACTGTGGAGACGGCAGTGGCGGCTGAGGTTGGAGCTCCAGCGGAAACGTTTGCCGCAAGCGCCACACTCATAGGGTTTCTCGCCGGTGTGGGTGCGCTGGTGCTGCAGGAGGTTGGAGTTCTGGGTGAAGCTCTTGGCACAGGCACTGCACTTGTAGGGCTTCTCGCCTGTGTGGGTGCTCAAGTGCCGCATCAGGTGTGAGCTCTGCCCAAAGGCCTTGCCGCACTCGGTGCACTTGTAGGGTTTCCGGGTACCCGGAGGGGGCGTGGGGGGCAGCCCCCAGGGCCAGTCCAGGCCAGGTGATGGGGGCAGCAGTGGTGATGTCACCAGGTTGTCAGGGGTATCAGTCTCTGTGGACTTCATGGAGTCTGTGGGGACATGGAGATGGGTGTCACCATGGGGATCCCTAATGACCCTCCCTGAGCTTCTTAATTGCCTCCAGTATCCCAAATTGATCCCTGGAATTCTCAAATCACCCCTTGATCTCCGTCACTGCCCGCCCCTTGGCTCTCCCAAATTGCTTCCCAAGCCATAGACCCAAATCTCATTTGGAGATGGCCCGAAAGGGAACATGGAGGTCAGGGATGGACCTGGGTTGGGATTGGGTTGGAGCAAAGACCCCTCAGAGGTCCCATGTGTCCACCCACCCTGGTGGGTCTCCATCCGCGAAGGTCCTCAGGCTTCACTGGGAGGAACCCTGAGGAACCTGGATGAGGTGGATGTGCTTTGGCGGCCGCTGGCCCCCTCCACTGTCCCATGATGCTTTGCGGTGCCCCCCAGTACCCCTTCCCCGGCTGGGCTCACCTCCGTGGGCGCCGGGCACCATCCCCCCATCCCCGTCACCGAGCGGCTCCTCTGGCTGCTCCATGGCCTGTGGGTAGACACAGGG